TTCAACCTATACAATGATCGTCTTAATTTGATTAAGAGCATACCTCGTGGTTTGTTAGTTGTTTCAAGCAACTTAAGTCCTTCTGGGACTTTCATTTATATATCAGTATCTAATTCTCCATATAGATAGCGGTGATGACATCCATAAGTCGCATGTTAAGTTTTTCTGAAACCACTAAACTTATTAAGTAACAGAACGTAATTGCGTCCATTATAGGAGAGTATGTCTCCTTATAATCAATTTTAGGTCTTTGAGAAAAACCTTGTGTAACGAGTCGTGCTTTATATCTTGCAATCTCATTTTTCTCATTGCGTTTTCTTATGAATACCCATTTGTAACCCACGGGGTTTACACCAGACGGGGTTTGACTACTAGTCCAAAAACATTTACCTTTCCAAGGAATTTAATTCTGCCTAGATTGCATCTTTCACTTAGGCCAATCTTGTCTCTGTTTGCATTCATCAACAAAGTGGGGCTCAAGATCATCACTTAATATGATTTCATTGGCTACTACGAATGCGAACATGTCGTCGATGATTATTTCATTCTGATCCCACAATTCATTAGTACAAGTATAATTTATGGAGATTTCTTTGCTTTCATGTACCTCTGTGTCTTTAGGTACATGTGTCTCATCAAGGACATTTTCTTTTTCTGAAAGTATAGAATCATGAATTGTGGATTTGTCATTCATTTTCTCTTCTTGAATGATTTCATTTGGATTCAGTTGTGCCCTTATCTTTCTCTTTCGAGGGGCTGAATCTTTTGAACCTGGAGGTCTACCACGCTTCAGGCGTGCACCAGATGAATCATTCACTGCCACTTTATTTTGTCCAACAGGGACATCAATTCTTGCAGTTGCATTTTCAACTGGTATATGTGATTTTGTCACTTTCATAGCATCATTAAATGCATCTGGCATTTTATTGGCAATACTTTGAAGATGAACGATCATTTTTACTTCATTTTCACATTGAATGCTTCGAGGATCAAAATGAGATAAGGTGGGAACAACCCATATCAGCTCTTACCGTTCTTCTGGAATGGTCTTTTCTCTCCCTAATGACGGGAAGACTCTCTCATCAAAGTGACAATCAGCAAAATAAGCTGTAAACATATAATCTGTCAAGGGTTCCAAATTTCTAATGATAGATGGTGAATTAAAACCCACATTAATTCCTAGTCGACGCTGAGGTCTCATTTTAGTGCATTGTGGTGGTGCAATAGGTACATAAACATCACAACCAAAAACTCATAAATGTGAAATGTTTGGCTGATGTCCAAACACGAGTTGTACCGAGGAGTATTGATGGTTGGCTATAGGTCTTAATCGAACCAATGATGAAGCATGTAAGATGACATGTCCCCATGCAGAGATTGGCAATTTTGTTTTCATGAGCAGAGTGCAAGCTATTAACTGAAGCCGCTTGATTAATGCTTCTGCTAAACCATTTTGATTATGGACATGAGGAACATGGTGTTCAACATCAATGCCCAATGTCATGCAGTAATCATCAAAGGTTTGAGACGTAAATTCACCAGCGTGATCAAGTCGGATTGACTTAATAGGGTAATCTGGGAACTGTGCTTGCAACTTAATTATCTGAACAAGAAGTCTCGTAAAAACTACATTCCGAGTAGACAAGAGACAAACATATGACCATCGGGTAGATGCATCAACCAAAACCACAAATTATTGAAATGGTCCACATGATGGTTGAATAAGACTACAAATACCCCCCTTGAATTCTTTGTAGAAATGATGGGGATTCAACATCAACCTTTAGTTGTGATGGTCTAATTACCAACTTCACATGAGAACAAGCCTTGCAAGGATTATCATTTGAGATAGCAATGTGTCTACTCAATAATGGAAGTCCATTAGAGTTGGTAATGATCATACGCATTATGGTAGATCCTGGGTGACCCAGACGGTCATACCAAAGCATGTAAACTTTTGAATCAATGAACTTATGGTTCATGACAGTATGTGATTCAACTGTCTTCATGTATGTATAATACAATCCACTCATCAAACCATGCAACTTCTCCAATATACGCTTCTGGGTATCATTGGAGGTAATGCATAGATACTCCACATTTTCTGCACTTTTTGTTTCAATGTGGTATCCATTTAAACGTATGTCTTTAAAACTCAACAAATTTCGAGTAGATCGAGTAGCTTACAACGCATTCTGTATAGACAATATTGTTCTATTTGGTAACATAATATGGGGTTTCCCTAAGCCTTCAATTACATCTGAAAGGCCTAATATTGTTGTTACCCTTACTTTTGTAAGCATCAATCTTGAGAAATACTTTCGATCTCGAAGTATTGTATGCGTGGTTGCGCAGTCTACAAGACAAATATCTCCACCATTTCTCATGTTTTGAGAATGATCATAGTTTTTATCCATGCTCTCTGAGTAAGGGAATCACAGTTAAAAGCAAATTATAATAGGAAATTTAAACATCACTTTTATTGAATTTGAAATGCTAGTTTTGAACTACAAGTTTAGTACATCAAACATAAACAATTTAGTCGAACCGGTATACTTCATTCCCCATTTCCACAATAAACTGAAACATCTAGGTGGGTTGCATTCAACTGCCTTGATAAGTCACAAACTGGTTCAGGTATTTCCATGGGTTTAGCCTGGTCGAGAAAATTGGTCTCGACAGCCTTTTCCTTGATAGAGGCTTGATATAGATCCACCATATGTTATGGGGTACGACAAGTCTGCGCCCAGTGTCCATTGCCACCACACCTATAGTAGGCTTTTTCAGAGTTTCTGGGAGCATTGTTCATATGAGTTTTGCCTTTGTGGCGATTCACATTTTTAAAGCTCGGGCCTGAATTATGCCTTGGAACCTAGTTGTGAAACTGGACACCATGATTCTTGCCTTTCTTGTTCCACCGTCCTCGTCTGTGGCCATGTCATCATTTATGATTATTGTCACCAGAGGATGTGGCGTTCACTTCGAGGGAAGCAGCATTCACTTCTGAGAATGGTACAGACCCAGTAGGTCAGGGCTGATGATTTTTCATCAGGAGCTCATTCTTTTATTCAACTACCAAGAGCACAGATATTAGTTGGTTGTATTCAATGAAACCTCGCTCTCTATAATGTTGCTACAGGAGCACGTTTGAGGCATGAAAGGTGCTGAAAGTCTTTTCGAGCATATCATCCTCAGTTATGGTTTCCCCACAGAGTTTCATCTGGGAGCTAATTTTGAACATCGCAGAATTGTACTCAGCCATTAACTTGAAATCCTCGATCCTTAGGTAAGTCCACTCATTACGAGCTCTTGGAAGAATCACCATTTTCTGGTGATTATATCTGTTTCACAATGCCTTCTAGAGTGCTAACGGATATTCAATCGTTAGGTACTTACTTTTTAATACTTCATCAAGGTGGCGACGGATAAAGATCATGGCCTTCACCTGATCTTGAGAAGATGCACTGTTCCCCTCCTTGATTGTTTCTCCAAGATTCCCCTACCTCCAAATAGATCTGGGTATCCACTACCCAGGTAAGGTAGTTCTTCCCAGTAATGTCTAGGGTAACAAAATCAAGTTTTACCAAGTTCGCCATTTTCTGTTCTAAAAGAAAACTGAGACTATGTAAGAACTTGGAATAATATGTATTCTGGAGGTATGTAGTGTTAGAACTTCTGGTTCTTACAAATTTTTCATTTTGATCTTCAGGCCAAAATGATAAGCACTCGAAACTTCAGGCTCAAGATTTTGAAGATGAATGAGGAGGGCGATTGTACCGCCTCATTCTCATTGAAATAACATAACATAGGATGAACGATTATTCCGCACCACTCAAGTAACAGGAAAATTTAAATACGCAAAGCAGGGTGGGCGATTATACCGCACCACCTAAAATTGCAATGAAATTAAACACCAGACAAATTTAAATATGCAGGGTGGTGTGAGCGATTATACCGTTCCACCTAAAATTTGTAATAAAATTAGATCTGCAATCCAAGATAGGCGATGATACTGAACCATCTTGGATTGCAATAAGATTAAATTTGCAGTTCAAGATGGGCGATTGTACCGCACCATCTTGGATTGCAGTAAAATTAACATAAATAAACACTAGGTTAGTAATCAAGATCTACACCAAACAAGAAATCAAAGATATATGTAACTGTTAGGTTGAGAACTAAAAGCAGGCATGGTGCAAATAGTTCTTCGCGAGGGTATATCCAGCAGTTGATACTGAGGAACAAGATGAACAGTAAAATCCTTACAGGAAACTTTTTTTTTTCTCTTTCGTTTGGCAAAGAGAAATGAGAAAATGGTTAGATTTTAGAGAGTCGTGTTGATAACGTGTTATAAATAGATAAAAGTTAGAGAGATAACTTTTACTAGTGACAGGAGTGAAGCAGGTGTAAAATATCACTATAACAATAACACAAGGGGATGACAAATAAAAGAGGGAGCGATAGATAATGTTATTGATCTTTCTTGTTCTATCTGTATTTTGATAGTATACGGAGCGCTCTATTTATAGAGTAACTCCAACACACAACTTTTGAAAAATACGATCTCCTTCATTTCCAAAGTCCACATTACTAAGTGGGTATTGAAAAATCTACCAATATTTTCAATATCACTGTGGGCATTCATTAACCCACCAATATTTTCAACAAACATTTGTTTTTCTAGAACGTGCTTTTGCGACCCAAACGCAGTCATAAACACACTTTTAACCATTTCAAAAGCAAATATCAAACAAGCTCTTAGCCTGGCTGACTCAGAGAATGTCCAATGAAATATACAAATTAAATAGACAAAAATGTATTATGCTAACTTAGTGCGACCCAATATAGCTATCCAGTTTGAAATATTGCCTACTTGGGGAGGGTAGGAATAAGTGACTCATCAAAATCTTGAACAGAAAAATACATTCCCTCCCAAAGGACTGATTGACTGCTCACACAAGAGACGCAACTTTGCACTGGAAATATCTCTTCCTCAAAAGTTGAAAACTCACAAGCCACTTTTGGAGTGCATCAATAAATACTGCCATATCCATATACATGTAAAATTGTTCTTTGGATCTGACATGGCTTAATACAAAGTGGATTTCCTTTCTATGATGTCCTTTTTTTTTGTACATATCAAAGGAAATCAACCCTACAAAACTCCTACACACCAAAATGTTCTCATTCCTTTTTCTTCCTCATACGAGTTCAAAACCTTCCCTTTTCTTCTCCGGATATACTGTATACAACTGTGTACTAACAGGCGTACCAGGGCCGAAAACACAAAATGAACATTCATTCACCAATAATGACAATTTGGTCACAACTCTGTAGATGAGTACTGTTTCAAGATTGATCAGGTCTTTCTGGACTTGACTCCATGCTAATGTTCGGATCTGCCTTGTAAGTCTTTGATGATGGAGTTCTTGTTGCTCGCTTCTTTGTCGGTCGAACAGAGGGATCAAACAGAGGTTCCCTTGCTTCTGGAGGAGGGAGTGCTAGCCGACGAGGTTGCAATTCTGGACCGTCAACTGGACCAACACATGCTACTGGATTTACTGCAGTAGAGAGACAAAACTATGAGTTTTGTGTTATTAATTCTTTTTCTGCAAGCAATGAAAGATACCATCCCTGAAGAAATAGGACGTCTAAAATCGAAAGGTCTCTATGTCAATGTCTTCATTCCCTCCCTGAATTTCATATATTACCTTATACTAATTGTCATTATATCGTTCACGTCCAAGAAGCAAGAAAGTTCTGTTATACCAAATAGACGTGAAGGAACAGGATGAACAGTATATGGAAATGGCATCACACTTTGCGGCATTACTATCGAGTGTAAATTTCCAAACGCATAAACTGACCAACCCTTCTATCGAGATGCCTTAGAGACCATAGCTATTAAGTAAAATACCAGAAAGCAAAACCCAAATATTTTACAAAGTACACAGGGCATTCCAACAAACACTTCCCCTAATTTTCTTGACAGATACTTTAGACTTCAGCAAGCAGGAATCAGTGAAAGCGTTTTCACTCATTAGAACAATAATTTGGTTTTAGACATCAGGAATGATTGCCATTATATATAGAATCATCAGGATAGAATGCCATTAAATACAGACTCATCAGGAAAGAATAGCATTCTATATCTACTCAGGGGAAAAATATCTGAGGGAAAACAAAAGCCACAACTTAGAATAAAGCATTTAAAAGCACAGAAGTACACATTGCATAAGAAATCATAAGGTCATACTTTCTTCACCAGGTGCAAGAAGTCTAGGTGTATCAGCAGAGTCTGTCAAATGAGCAGTATGCTTCTTCGAGTAATTGTCAGAACGTTTTCTCACATAATTTTCCTGCAAAGGCTTCGGAGTTACAAATGAGAACTGTGACATGTTCACTCCTGCATCCATATACTCGGGATGTTGAAGCAAATACCTGAAAATTCAAAACCAGCATAATTAACTATCAACCAAATGAGTGAAGAAATTCAAGCTGAACTAAACAAGAATCACAGAAACACACTTCTGGATCTCCACCGACGAACGAAGCTTCTTGCCTGTTGGCGATTCATAGTACCTGAACACACAAAATAGTGAAATGCGAGTGTCACAAAACTAAGTTGCATGTTGGCAATGCCGATGATAATGTTGCACGACAGATTACATACACGTCTGCGAATCGGGTGCCTCCTTCACCTCTGATCCTGAGCAATCGCTGCCATCCACGCGGGGGCTGAGCAATGTTGGGCTTATCAATGGCCCAGAGCCTGCTCCCATCCTGAGTAATGTCTTCCGGGTCATCACAAGACACCAAATCCCGCCATTCGCGCGCAGTTTCGCAGTAAAAGGGCTCTTCCAGAATATGCTCACGAATTTCCTCATACTTCTCCTTCGACGGAATGAGCCTCCATTTGAAGCAATTGGCACACTGCACGGTGAAAGCCCCAACCGACGGCAAAACCCTAGGTGGGTGATTAAACGGATATGTCCATGGAAACGACATTGGGTTGTTCGGGTGATCAAACGTAGACGAAATGAGGGTTTTGGCATTGTCATGCACTGTGTCTGCGGCATTGGCATTGGCTGCTGCAGTTGCAGGGTCATACAGCACCAGCTCGTTCGATTGGAGATGGGTTCGAAGGGTTTCATCGTCCGAACCCGAATCCGAATCCGACGAAGTGGAAGAAGAAGATGGAGGGACGTCGATGGCGTCTTGGGGAGGCGTATTTTGTTCTTCTTCCCTCCTGAGCTTCTTGAACGTTATCTTACAGGGATTTCGAGAATCCATGGAAACGGCACAGAAATTTCTTGAATCCATGGATAACGAAACAGCAGATCTCAAACACCTCCTGCAAACAAAATACCCATGAGAAAAAATGGAAGATTTCGAAAGACCCAGATCTAGTTTAACGCTTACAAGGATGATGAGAGATCTGCGAGGATGATGATGAAGGTGGAGGGGTAGAATCGATCAGGGACGTTGGTTACAAAGAAATGCGCAGATCAGAGGTGAGAGCAGGTACTCTGCATCATCATCCAGTGACTGGAGCCTGGAGGTTCAACCCTGGTCCTGGGTGAGAAGATGGAATAATGAAGAGGGAGTCCAGAAGGAAGGAGATTATGGCTGGTGGGTGGATCATTTGTCACAAATATGATTTGTGCACAATTTTCTACTTTCCTTCTTTTTTTTTTTTTTTTTTTTTGGTTTTGGGTTACTTTAATTACTGCAGTTTTTAGTTTATTAAACTTTGTTTCAGTCATGGTAATTTGGATTTATTTGGAAGGTGAATTTTTACGGAGAAACACCTTTATGTGCTTGTATATAAAGTCTTAAAGTGATTTTATCGAATTATTTAGTGTTACGGTTTAGTGATATTTCTCTTTACTTGTAAATGAAATGTTCGATTGTCGTCAAAGACGAATTTGAACCACATCATAGCTAGCCCATTATGAAACTTAGCCCACTCTTACGTCCCTTTAATGTCAATAATATTGTTTGTTAAAGAAATGATTTTATGAAAACATCATGTCCTTCTTTTCATAATCTAAACTCAAATAATATTTGAATTGAAAATGAGTCCAAATTTCTCTAATGCATCGGAAAAATAAAACTCATACTTAAACCTTAGGTCTAAATGCATTCAAATTATGAGATTTGAGTTCTAGATGATGCTCAAGTTAGCAAAGAAATTCAAGCAACAAAAATAAGATTTGCATTTTGACTCGTATCGTCTTCAATGCATATATACCTGAATTGTCAAAACTCAAAATTCAATGTTTTTTTTTCCTCCAATGCAAAGACTCAAAATATTAAAAATTAAAAAAATAAAAATAAAAAATAAAAATAAAAAAACCTCGAACTCATCACCTATTTGTGACGAATACTGGTCCTCTCAAAATCACTTCCAAACAGTGGGGATCATAAATTTATTTTGAAGTGGCGAAGATTAATAGCTAAGAACTAATTCACCATCCAAAACCTTAAAAGCTAATAAGTAATATCAAAATGAAAACATTCAGATTAAACAAGTTATAAAAAATAGAATTTTTCTATCGAAACTTTGATATTTGGGATTTAGGTTAAATGGTTCATACTTAGTGTGGTGTTGTTGACTAAGTTACTTTGTTGGTGGTAAAGGGCCTTAGCGATGGTTGCACCAGAAAGATTGAGAACAAAAGTTGGGTTTGAGAAATTTGAGTCTAATGAGCGAATATGGATAAAATAACTTTGAGGTGTAGGAAAGAAGCCAAAAATTGTTATCCCTTTTAGGGGAAAAAGGAGATGTGCAATCCCAAAAAAGGTTTAATGTAAACATATCAAGTTTAATGGAGAGTGCGCTACTACCAAAAAATAAATAGATGAGGGTGAAAAACCATCATGGGATTGTTCAAAAACGTTGTGTTTAAGCATGTAGTCTTTTAAAGCTAGTCACGATGGTTTTCAACCATCGTATGATCTAGTATGTAAACCATCGTATGATCTACTATGTTCTAATTAGCGATGCAGTGACCAATTTGAACTCTTCCAATTGATTAATAGCTTAAGAAAAAGTCTTGTTCTCCCTATATGTGAGAATTGATTATCAACTTGAACTCTTTCACAAATCATGAGTGACTTCAGTTAGAATTACAATGCAATAAGATCTAGGGGTGGAAAAAATTCCCGAAAATCCCGAACCGAACCGAAAAAATCCCGATCCCAAACCAAAAATTTCCCAAACCGAAATTCCCGAAATTTTCGGGATGCTATCCCGAACCAATCCCAAAATTTCGGTATGGGATTCGGGATTGGCTTCTCGATATTTCGGGAATCCCATACCAAACCGAAAATATATAATATTAATTATTATATATATATATATTTATACATATATATATTATTCTTTTATAATTGATGCTAGTAGTTTCTAATTCATGCTCAGCAACCTAGAATGCCCTACACCTTGCATATTTTTCATGTTCTGTTTGATATTCATGTGGATTTTATTATTGCTGCTGCCATGGCTGATGATTTCAGAAGGCTTGATTCTTTTGTCTCTCAACAGATTGCAAAAAGAGTTTAATTAATTTGAATTTTGACTATGATAAAAAGAGTCAAGCATGCCAGTGTTCAATTAAATGGTAGTGTGAATGAAATGAAATTCCTAGTTCATAAATGTGTTCTTGAATTATATATTTGAAGAACAATTCATAATTTCATATTTCAATTTGGGATTCCCGATTTGTCCCAAAATCCCGAAAATATTTCGGGATTCCCGAAATTTGGGATTCCCAAAAATTTGGTTTGGGATTGGTCTTCAAATTCCCATCCCGAAAAATTTCGGTTTGGGATTCGGGATACTAGTTTCGGTATGGTATCCCATACCGAACCACCCCTAATAAGATCACATCAGTTCAGGCTATTTTATGTCAAGCTCTTAAGTGATCTAATAATTCAAGTCGCTAAGCTTGGAACTTCTTTCTCAAATCATGAAGCTTTGCCCGAAGACTTTTTGAATCATGTTGAGGAGCAATCTTGGGATCACTAAGTTTGAGCGATTAGTTTCATTAATGTTGGATTTTGAGAATGTAATTGAATTAGTTGGTTAAATTCTTTGATTTTGAGAAAAAGTGAAGTTCGGTGTATTTTGGTCATTTTAAATTTAGTTCAACCTTTATTGTCGTCCCTTATGGCGATTGGATACACCTAGATCTAGCGAGCACGTAGGCACAAATTGCGCTCAATTTCGACTTATAAGGAAGAAGTTAGGAGTGCTAGGGTGCGTTTATTGCACCAGACTATCTCGAACTGAACTAGCTTCAGGGACTAAGCTCAACAAACTTAAAATAGACTAAGCTGGACTAATTTAGTGAAGTGTTTGGTGCAGTGTCGGACTAAGAAGCGGGACTACAATATTATATTATTTTATATTAATCTAATATATATCAATCTTTCCTTTTTTTTTTTTTTTTCTAGAATCATCCTCTTCTAACTTCTCCAATCTCTGTTACTTTCATTTTTTACTCCGCCACTCCATCCCCATCTCCCTTTTTCCTCATTTTTGTCCCTCCGCCTGTCCCTCCTATTTCCCTTTTCTCCCCATTTTTGCCCGACCTTTTTTTTTGTACCAATGTCTCCCTCCCCTCCCTTTTTTTTCTCTCGTTTCACCTCTGTATACTGTCCCCTTTCCCATCGCTCTCTTTGTATTTATTTTTTTCTTTTTTCTTCAGATTTGGTACCTGTATTTTCTGGGAAAATCACAGTTGATCAACAAAAATCACTCAAAGTCACTGCACCCATGCTAAAGTTTTCAATCTTGCTGTTAATAGAAGAATTTAGGTCACCATGAGACCCGTTTTTGACGTCATTCAGGTCGACCCAGATGCCGAAAGGGCACTTGGTTTACGGGACGATGGAGATCGACAACAACCGTTTTTGGTTTGGTCATTGGAGAAGGGAGAGCTGATGCTACTCATGTGGGTTCACGCGACGCAACTTGCAGAAAAGGGAGACGGGACTAGCAATCCCATAGTTTTTGGGGGGGCTCACTATGACCTCTTAGGCCATCTCCAACCGAAGGGTCCAGAGGGTTAGAGGGTTGAAAATAGCCCGAAAATCGTCTCCAACCGAAGGTTAGGTTAGAGGGCTAGTGGGCCCCATGGACTCTGAAAGGGCCAAAGGGCTTGCCCATTCCAACCAGCCCTGGGTTGGCCAAAATTTTTGCTTAAAACTGTCAGATATAACCAACAGGAATAAGAGCAATAGTGTCGGTTATAACCAACACGAATAGTTGGGAAAATTTTGAATACAACGACTAGCTGACTACAGCTAGTCGTTGTATTCAATTTTTTTTAAATGAATTTAAAGTTTTTTTTTCCTATAAATACCTAAGTCATTCCTACACCATTTCTCACATAATTTTCACCATTCCATACTATTTTACAAAATTTGTTTCATATATTTTTTAAAATTCCATTTTTTCCTACAACTTCTATTTTACAAAATTTGTTTCATATTTTTTTTAAGTTCCATTTTTTTTTCCTATAACTTCTATTTTACAAAATTTGTTTCATATATTTTTTTTAAATTCTATTTTTTTCCCTATAACTTCCTAAGCCATTACACAATATTAAATTAAATTAAGTAACATGAAACAACATTAAACAATATGAAACAACATTAAATAACATTAACCTACATAAAAATAATACAACATAAAAAAAACATTTAACAACATGAAACTTCAACAACATTTTTAAAAACATTTAACAACATAAAACTTAAACGCCTACTCCATGCTTCTTTTGGCCCAAAGATATGCAACAAGATCATGTTGTAGGTACTTGTTTGTGGCATGGGAACGTATCATTCTATAGCATCACATGTACTCATTTATAGAGATACTAACAATTCTTGGATTGAAAGCCAAATTGGGCCCATCATATATTTTTGCACGAGCCCTTCTTGACCTATTTGGATCTTCTTGGTCGTCATCAGACTCTCCATCAATATACCCATCGCGCTCATCCTCCACTATCATATTGTGTAATATGATGCAAGACATCATGATGGAGTCCAAATTTTCTTGACTCCACCTTTTTGCCGGTTCATTGATGATCTTCCACTGTGCTTGTAGAACATCGAAAGCTCTCTCAACATATTTCCGGTATGCCTCTTGGTGTAAGGTAAACAACTTTTCCGCGTCATTCCTAGGGTTTGGAATTGCTTAGACAAGTGTCGCCCACTTTGGGTAAATGTCATCTGCTAACTAATACCCCATATTGTATTGACGGCCGTTGATGTAGTACCCAAGTTGAGGTAATTTACCTTCCGTCAGGCGATTGAAGAGGGATGAACGCCCAAGAACTGTAATGTCATTTTGGGATCCAAGGACTCCAAAAAAAGCATGCCAGATCCATGTGTCATATGAGGCAACTGCCTCTAATACAACAATTAGCTTTCTCGACCTTCCACTAAACCCTCATTGCCATCCGGTGGGATAGTTCTTCCAATCCCAATGCATGCAGTCTAATGACCCTATCATGCCCGGAAACCCACAGTCTTCAGCTTTGCGAATAAGCCGATTCAGATCTTCTTGATTTGGCTCGCAAAAGTACTCGTCTTTGTAAACCTGAACAATTGTGTCACAAAATTGTTCAAGAGTATC